AAGGCTGGTCCTAGACTAGTGGTAGCTGCAGCTCCTACACAAAGACCCTCAGAGGCGCCTGGACTGGAAACAACACACGCACCAAGACTGGAAACATAGGTCTCTACTCGTGCAGCTGGGAAAGGTCCTAGACCAGGTAGGTGAGACTCAACTGGTGCAGCAGTGCGCTGGCGAAGATGCGAGGGCCAGTGCGGTGTAATAGCGTGAGGACCAAAATGCTCACGGTGAAGGTCGTCGAGTCGACGGTAGCAGCTGGACGCAGAGTGGTCAGGACTCCAGCAAGTAGTGCCAACACCAGGGCCTGTCAGGGCCCGGTACCCGCAGGGGCCGACGTCTCACCCACTGCTAGATGAGCCACTGCTAGGGGTGCCACACTTTGGACCCGCATGTCCCCACTGTCGGGAGTGCTGCGGCTGGCCCTGCTGCTGTAGAACTCTAGTACATGCCATATGAGGAGCAAGAAACGGGGGGGGGAGGGGGGGGGGTGCGCTGATGGTATCCTAAGCTGCTGCTGGTGCGCTGGGGGGTAGCCTATGCTGCTGCTGGTTCTGCTGGGGGCAGCCTACGCTGCTGCTGGTTCTGCTGGGGGCAGCCTAAGCTGCTGCTGGTTCAACTGGGGGCAGCCTATGCTGTTGCTGGTGCTCCTGGCGGCAGTCTAGGCTGTTGCTAGTTCAACTGGAGGCAGCCTAAGCTGCTGCTGGTGCTCCTGGTGGCAGTCTTGGCTGCTGCTGGTTCAACTGGGGGTAGCCTATGCTGCTGCTGGTGCTCCTGGTGGCAGTCTAGGCTGCTGCTGGTTCAACTAGGGGCAGCCTAAGCTGCTGCTGGTGCGTTGGCAGCAGCCTATGCTGCTGCTGGTTCAACTGGGGGCAGCCTATGCTGCTGCTGGTGCTCCTAGCGGCAGTCTATGCTGCAGCTGGTGCGCTGGCGGTGGCTGGCGCTTGCTGGTGGCGGCCTACGCTGGTGCTGGCGGCGGGTTACTGGCGGATAGCAGTCCGTATGGGGTGGAGGGCGGCGGGAGGTGACTGGGAGTCGACTGGGAAGGGGGGTGGGACGCGGGGGCGACAGGAGGCGACTGAAAGGGGGACGGGGAGGCGACGGGAGGCGACGCGGAGGCGACGAGAGGGGGGGGACGGGGAGGCGACGAGAAGCGACGCGGAGGCAACGGAAAGGGGGGCGGGGAGGCGACGGGAGGCGACGCGGAGGCAACGGGAAGGGGGGGACGAGGAGGCGACGCGGAGGTGACGAGAAGGGGGGGACGGGAAAGCGACGAGAGGCAACGCGGAGGCGAAGAAAAGGGGGGACGGGGAGGCGACGGGAGGCGACGCGGAGGCGACGGGAAGGGGGGGACGGGGAGGCGACGAGAGGCGACATGGAGGCGACGGAAAGGGGGGCGGGGAGGCGACGGGAGGCAACGCGAAGGCGACGGGAAGGGGGGGACGGGGAGGCGACGGGGGGGGCGACGCGGAGGCGACAGGAAGGGGGGGACGGGGGAAGCGATGAGAGGCGACGGAAAGGGGGGACTGGGAGGCAACGGGAGGCGACGCGGAGGTGATGGGAGGCGACGCGGAGGCGAGGGGGGGGACGGGGAGGCGACGAAAAGGGGACGAGGAGGCGATGGGGAGGGGACGGGGACGCGACGGGAAGGGGACGGGGGCGCAAGCTACACGGGCGCTACGGGTACGAGGCGCTTCGGGCTACGGGGCGCTTCGGGCTACGGGGCGCTTCGGGCTACGGGGTGCTTTGGGTTACGGGGTGGTGGGCCCAACAGATCGATCTAGCTCTATACCATGTTATGGAGGTAACTATCGAATGAATTGATGAGAAACAAGCGGTACAAGGATGGATATAGGAAACCCTAACTTAACCTAGGGCAAAGTGTAACACACCTAGACTAACACACATAAACTATAACAAATATAGTTTGACACCCTACTCCTATATCTGACTACTACCGTGCTGCTCGCCCTGTTGTCTCACGTGTTCTCGCCAATCTTGCCACCGACTCTTCGTTTCTCTCCGTCGTCTTTCTCAGCTCTCACTGCCGCTGTCGCTGAGTTTGCTACCACCAGCCGCCTTGACTTCACCACGTGTGTGGTGCCTGCTCCACCTTCCCGCGTCCTCTGTCCGTCGGAGGTGAGTTTGCCCTCGGCTGTGACATCCTAGAGGACAGACAGTCTGAGCTGGAGTACTTGGCAGCCGCTTCTCCCTCTCTCTGTGTCATGCTGCTATCCCTTGAGGGAGACCCCGACGCCCTTGACATACCGATTCCTCGCACGTACCGTGAGGCAGTGTCAGGGGAGTGGGCCTCTCAGTGGAAAGCGATTATGAAATTAGAGTTAGCGTCTTGGAGATCCACAGGCACGTACGTCGACGCAGTTCCCCCTCCCAGGGCGAGCGTTGTCGATGGCATGTGGCTCTTCAAGGTGAAGCGGCCGCCGGGATCACCGCCTGTGTTCAAGGCGCGCTACGTGGCTAGGGGTTTCACTCAGCGTGAGGGAGT